CGGCGCGAGAACGCGATGTCATTCGCGCTTCGCGCAGCGCGAAGTGCGAAGCGCGAAGGTCGGCGCCCTGAGTCATGCTTGTGTCCCCGCGCGGAGGGGGCATGGGCGTAGTCCGCGCGTTTCGCAGCGGGGGGTGACGGTGACATGGCGACTGCGTCGAGGGCTGCAGGAAGTGGGCCCCGGCCCTGCACGAAAGGTGCGGCTTTCTTCACCGAGCGCGTTCCCCTACTCGCAACGTAACCGAGGTAGGCAGGTCCTTAGAATCCCCCCCCAATAGTGGACATCAATTATCCTTTCGACGCCCTTATTGGCGAACTGGGATCGCACCAATACTGGAACATCATTATTTCTCCGCGACACCCTCCGCGCAACAGCGACAACGTCGACGACTACGACTACGACTACTGGGAGGAGGAGGAGAAGGAGGAAGAGGAGAAGGAGCAAGAGGACGAGGAAAGAGATAGGAAGAGGAGGATCAGGAGGATCAGGAGGAACAGGATGAGGAGGAGGAGGGGCGGACTTTATTTCCCGCCGAGAGAAGCCGGGGGGACCCTTATATCTAAAGGCCTCCCGCGGTTACCTATTCGCAAACGTCCGCAACGTGATCGACCCACGAATTCCGGAAATGAATGTAGAAGTGTGAAGCATGGCATCGTTTTCAAGACGTCAATCTTGGGCGACGGGCAATTACAGTGTTCAGAGTAAAGATCCTGGTGTATTGTGCCACAGGTTGTGCTGTACTGCGCCGTGCTATGTTGAGTTCAGCGTGTCACACCGCATTGAACCGTGCCGCGCCCTCTTGCATTGTGGATCAAGCCGTCAGGCAACATACTCGTGGCCGAACTGATTTGGATCTCAAGCTCGAACTGCCTGAACGCAAAGCTCGGGCCAGTTCTAGTCGAGACGCGCGGGGCGCTCGACCAGCTCGAGCACAAGATCCGATTCAGTGCCGAAGCCATCGCCCGAGACATTGAGTTTCGCAACGGAGCGAACCGAGCGCGACCACGACAGGCGGGGGAGAACCATGCGGAGCGTTCAACCAGCTCGAACTCAAGATCCGATTCAGTTCCAAAGTGGAACGAACCGATCAAGGGGCGGATCCGAGCCGAAACGAGAAGCACCGAGACGACGACGAGGGCCCCGCTCGAGACCTCCTTAAATAATGGGAAAACAAGCGCTTCGCTCGAGACATCCGCAAGACGTCCTGCGGAGCGAGCGTTTCGCCATAGACATCCTCAACACACACTCATGTTAGTGATCCGCCTGGGAGGCCTGAGCACGTGATGATCCGCGTTTCGTTCGACACACGCTCAACAATTCCTCATGCCACAGATCTGTCTGGGCGACGTGGAACAAGCGTGAAAACGCACGGGTCCCAGGGCGGAACAAACGTGACATTACGTGGGCCATGTTCGCGCCACAGCGGAGCAAGCTTGAAAACACGTGAGCCTTTCGCCCTGGAGCGGTACCAGCGTGAACACACGGGGGTTTGTTGTTGCCCCAGAGCGCAGCAAGCGTGAAAACATTTGGGTCCTTTCCAGAGGGGAAAAAGCGTGAAAACACGTGGGTTATTTTCGCCCCAGAGCGCAGCAAGCGTGAATTGTCATTAGGTCCATAGGTCCCTTCCGCCCCAGGGCGGAGCAAGATCGACAACACATTGGTCCTGCTCGCCCCAGATTACAACAAGCGTGGAAAGACGCGGCCCCCCTCTAGGAAGCCCCTAAGATGGAATATGCTAAGGGGTCATGCATCCCTGCTTTGCGCCCCCCTCACACTTTGGAGGGAGAGGCCGCCCCTGGAGGGCCAGGACGCGTGGCCACACGCGGGTCCTTTTCGCACCAGAGCGCAGCAGGCGTGAGATCACGTGGGCCCCCCTCGCTCCAGAGCGCAGGAAAGGTGGAAACACGCGGGTCCACTCCGCCCCAGAGCGGTACCTGCGTGAGAACACGTGGGCCCCTTTCGCCCCAGAGCGCAGCAAGCGTGAAAACACGCGGGCCCCTCTCGCTCAAGAGCGCAGCAGGCGTGAAAACACGTGGGCCCCTTTCGTCCCAGAGCGGAGCAGGCGTAAGAGAGTGTTTTCACGTTTGTTCCGCCCTGAGGCGAAAGGGACCCATGTGTTTTCTCTTTTGTTTTACCCTGACGCGAATTGGACCCATGTGATTTCACGCTTGCCGCGCCCTGGGGGCACCAATATTTGATACCTCCCTGGGCGACCTGGGCACGTGAAAACAAGCATGTCGCCAGAGATATCCTCTGATGTCTGCTTGTCCGGAGGGGAACAATCTACAGGAACAAAAACAAGCGTTTTGCTCGAGACATCCTCAACACATTTTGCAACAGTAGCGTTTCGCTCGAGACATCCGCAACAAGCACAACAAACATCACCACGTATCTTACCGATCGGAATTTCCAAAACCGTTTCGCCATGGGGAAGAATCCGCCATCCCACCCCGAACATGGCACCAGGGGACAGGTTTACTACAGCAAAATACAGCCCTGGGCCCACGCCGCTTCCGGGCCAAAAACCCACGGGTTTGCCGCGACGTCATGGATCGTGGATCCCCCGCGGCGAATCCAGGCCATTTGCGAGCAGGTGCTTTGCGAGTAGTAGGACGCGCTTGCCTATCCAGTCACCCCCCCCCACGAGGCAACGCCCTAGCAGTCGGCCTCCCGCGCCAGTCGGCCGGAGATGGCCCTGGATAGCGGCACGCGCGACCCGCCTCCAGAGCTCGGAGGCAGGCGGTTCGGAGAGCTCGTCGCCGGCTGGGTGAAGAGTTTCAAGGCGCCCGCGCCCGCGCCCGCGCGCTGGCAGCCCGGTCGGGGCCTGAATCGGTGCGGCCGAGATTCGTCGCCATGAAGCCAAGAGAGCATGTTTCCCGGGCGATAACGGGCGGTACTGCGGGCAGGGATGGGGGGGCTGGCAACGTCACGCTTCGCGGTCGAGGTGGTGGAGACGGGGGCCAATGCAAATGGGGTCAGCCAGAGCGCCAGATCTTGCAGGATCTTGCAGAGCCAGGGGTTGACCCGGGCTAGCGCGCAGGATTCTGCAGGATCTTGCAAAACTTGCTTGGCCAGGGTCAGTGGAAGCCCGAGTCGGGAATCGGTGCGGTCGCAATGCGTCGCCATGAAGCCAACTGGCCCTGAGAAAAACAGGTCCGGCATTTCGCCGTTCTTGGGCTCAGGGGCCGTCAAGAATCTGTTCATGATGAAGAACTGATTCTGGGGGACCCGTTCTCCTCAGGGCCCGCTTCCCGTTTCGGGACCCGTTTCCTTGGGGTTCCGAGCCCGTTTTCTTCAGGGCCTTTTTCTCCTTCTTGCCGAAAATTCGACTACGCGTAAGAGTGGCCCTTCGCTGGAGTGACCTTCGGTGCAGGCCCACACGGGGCCCTGAGAGATTCGGCCTGCGCGCTTGGAATTGCATTCCCTCCCCCTCTCGCCCCCCCGCGGGCCCCGCGGTGCTCTGAAGCCGCGCACCAAAGGTCACTCACGCCTGGGGCCACCCACGCACGCAGCCGAGAAAGCGGGGAGCAGAAAGAAGACAGGGACGAAGGCCAACAGCACTTCCTGCCCATCTGTGTTCCCGTCCTCCTCTCGGGCGCACCCACTCCAGGCGGGGGGGCGGGGACGGAGGCTCGCACGCACTTCTTGGGTCGGCGCTGGGCCCCCCCCCCCCTCTCCTGGCGGCGCCGCCCCCCGCGCGCGCATGTGCGCCTCCCACGCAGGGGGGGGCACGGCGCCGACCCAGGAGATCCGCGCGGACCTCCGAGAGCGTTGCGCAGCCGGATGTTCCTTTGTTGCTTGTGGGGCGTGGTGGTGGGGAAGAGGAGGTCGCTGGGAGGGGGGGGGGGGGGGAAGGCGGCAAGATATCGGTGTCTCTCGCGCACTGCCTTTTTTCCCTCCCAGCCCTCCTCCGGAGCGGGGCAAGGGAGGAGAAGGGGGATGGCGAGGGGGGAGGGAGAGGGAACGACGGGGACGAGGAGGAGGAGGAGGAGGACCAGGACAAGGATGACAACGGCCACGAGGGACGGGGATGAGGAGCAGGACGAGGAGGAGGTGGAGCGAGAGGGGGATGGAGGAGAAAGGGGATGCGAAGGGGGGATGAGGGGGGATGAGGAGGGAGAGGAGGAGAAGGAGGAGGAGGAGAAAGAGGAGAAAAAGGAGGATGAGCACGAGGATGAGAACAGGCAAGGGGAGGAGGAGGAGGAGCAGGAGGAGGAGGAGGAGGACGAGAAGGGAGGAGGAGAAGGAGGAGGAGGAAAAGGAATACGAGGAGGAAGAGGAGGAGGAGGAGGAGGAGGAGGAGGAGGGGGGAGGAGGAGGAGGAGGTGAAAAGGAGGAGGAGGAGGAGGACGACGAGAACGAATCGAGAGAAGGACGAGCGAGGAGGAAGGAAAGGAGGCGGGTGGAAATTTGGAGGGGAGGGAGCGGTAGACAAGGCGGGAGAGGCCGATGCAGGGCGGGAGAAGGACGAGGAGGAGGTCTGAAGATCGCATGACATTCCTTGGGGAGCAGGTGGCGGTGCTCCTCTCGTCCTGTACTCGCCAATTGCGCTGATCTACTTCCTGCAGTTTGCCGCGCTGTCCTGTCTCGACTGCTGTTGCGACGGCCGATCCCCCGAGCTGCGTGTGCGTGTGCGTGTGCGTGTGCGTGTGCTTGTGCTTGTGTTGTTTTGTGTGTTTGTGAGAGACACAGAGAGAGAGTGTGTGTGTGTGTGTGTGTCTGTGCCTGTGCCTGTGTCTGTGTCTGTGTGTTGTGTGTGTGTGTGTGTGTGTGTGTGTTTGTGTGTGCTGTGTGTGTGCTGTGTGTGTTTGTGTGTGTGAGTGTTTGTGTGTGCGTTTGTGTGTTGGTGTGTGTGTTGTGTGTTTGTGTGATTGTATGTGTGTTTGTGCGTTTGTATGTCTGTGTGATTGTGTGATTGCGCGCATGTGTCCGAATGTGCGTGCATATGTGTGAATGTATGTGCGAATGCGTGTGAATGTGCGTACGTGTGTTCGTACCCCATGAGGAGCGGTCTACTGGTCCAGATGGGCTGGCTGACTGCTCTCCGAATTCAAGTCGGCACCACGAGGGCGCCGAAGCATCTTGGCCCGCGGGCCAACATAAGGCGCGTCCTACGCACAGGCCAACGGCGTCAGGGCCACTCGGGGGCCCGAGTCCGAGACGCCAGAGGAGCAAGCTCAGGCGCAGGACCAGGGGGCCCAGGCTCGCAGCTTCACGGGGCCGCCAGGCGCCCCACGCCCAGCGGCCAACAGGGCCAGGCAGGGCAAACCGTCCAGGGTCACAGAGAACGCGCCCGAGCTTGCACCCTTGGCGGTAGGGCGCGCCCCCTCCAGCAGGAGTCGATCCCTCCTGGACTTGCTTATGCGCTCGGCCGACGGGGGGCAGGGTTGCGTTCGGCCGACGGGGGCAGGGCACCAGGACACGCAGCCCTGAGCGGACTGGCCGCAGGGGAGGCGTGGGCCCCGCAGCGCCGGGACGTCACAAGCCCGGTCCGTGACGCGAGCCCATGACCACGGTCGAGGGGACCTTCGAACGCGGCAAAGGCGGCCTCCCCGCCCGGCTCTTCACTGTGCCGCTGCCCCTTTCGGCACGCAGGGTGTGACCAGGTAGCAGGCGCCTCACTGACCGGGGGACCTGTGGAGAGAGGTCAAAACCTTCAGCACCGTCCCAGTTCGCTCACCGTTACCGCCTACACCGACGGGTTCTCGGGAGGGGATCGGCCCTTCGGTCCATTCAATCCTTCCCGCGCACAGGTGATCCGCCTTCTCGTCTCCAGTCCACCGGGTGCGACAACTCCCGCGCGGCGGGGCTCCAGCCCTGCCCTGGTTGCGACCGCCCCGCCTCGTGCGGGCGCGCCGCCTTCGGTGGCGGGTGCCAGTGACTCCCCTGCCCCGCGGGCTTTGGCGCACAGCCTCGAGGAGATTATGGAGCAGACTCTGACAGGGATAATGCCGCCATTGTGCCCGTTTCCCCTGACATGTTCGATCTGCGCCTGGACTTGGCCGACTCGAGTCCTACTCACGATGCGCTCGGCGATCCGAACTTACACGCCAGCCCCGATTTAAAACCATCGGCCATGAGTTCTCGACCCCTTTGCTCTGCGCCTGTCGGGGGAAACCCCTGCAAGCGCCAGCCACAGTGAGCAGAGACTCTCCCAGGATGCTCACCGCTTGCGGGGGGGGGGAGCCCCTGCAGGCGCTGACCCCCGCGCACCGCCAAACGCCCAGGACGCTCGATCCCCAGGAGCCCTCGGCCTTGCCGCTCAGAGCTTGTGGGGGGGGTGGGGAGAAATCGTACAAGCGCCGCGCCGACTGTCGGCGGTCCATGGCATCCTGTTCCCCAGGTCTCCCGACAGTGTTGGGCCTTCGCGGTTCCCTAGGGTGGACGCAACACGTTTCTTCCAATGGGCATGCGGATCGTTCCCTTTGCACGGTCGGCCAGGCATGAGCCATTGAGTCGCGACGAACGGTTTCCGAGCTTGATCTCGGCCACACTCCACCTCTGCTTCGCGACTCCGCTCCGCCAGCCCCGACTTTAAACGATTTCGTGATCGTGGATTTCGACGCACCGGTCACAGCAAGCGCAGGACGCGCACAGCCGCGTCACTACGCACCGAGACCCGCGTCGTCCGACAGGACCTCTGCGGCAGGCTTTGCCAAGCTGAGAACGCCGCCAATCAGCGCTTCCACGACTCCCACATGGCAACGCGTGATCCGCCAGAATCTTGACTCCCGAACAGACTGCGATTGAGCTGCGCGCTGCACGGGCCCAGACTGGCCGGCGGGGCACCGCTGCGGTTAACCACCACGACCCCCTGGCAGCTGAGGTTCAGACATTGCGGGCGACGGTGGTTCCAGGGCCGAACGGCAGCGCTCTCGCGGGACGAAGCGCGCCGCGGATGTCACTGCAGAGGTCGAGGGGCTCTCGGGGCGCGTGGATCGGCAGCAACGGGGCCGCGCCGACACCGATGACGAGCTGTCCGCGCACGCCGGCGACACTACGCAGCACCACACATACCAAACACAACATCACCAGAGAACGCAAGCAGCACGGAGCTCATTTCCAGCCCTCACCAACCGCGCCGCTAGAGCCTTGTGCGTGTGCGCGTGCGTGTTCCTGCGCGTGTGCGTGTGCGTGCTTGCGTGCTTGCGTGCTTGCGTGCGTGCGTGCGCGCGTGTGTGCGAGTGTGTGAGTGTGAGTGAGTGTGTGTGTGTGTGTGTGTGCGTGTGTTTGTCTATGTGTGTATGTGTGTGCGCGTGCGCGTGTGTGTGTGGTGTGGTGTGTGGATGTGTGTGTGTGCGTGTGTGTGCGTGTGTGTGTGTGTGTGTGCGTGTGTGTGTGTGTGTGTGTGAGTGTGTGTGTGTGTGTGCGTGCGTGCGCGTGCCCGTGCGCGTGCGCGTGCATGTGCGTGTGCGTGTGCGTGTGCGTTTGCGTGTGCATGTGCGTGTGCGTGTGCGTGTGCGTTCGTGTGCGTGTGTCTGTGTCTGTGTCTGTGTCTGTGTCTGTTGTTGCTCTCCGATCCCTGCGGCTGGGCCCTGGGTTCAGGCTCCCTCTCGGGGTGGATCGCCACTGTCACCGCTGTGTCTTCGCCCGCGCAGCTGCCAACTTCACAGTGCGTGTGTGAATGTGTGTATGTGTGTTTGTGTGTACGGTCGCGCGTGTGTGTGTGTTGTGTGTTGTGTGTTATTTGATGTATGTTGTGTGTTGTGTGCGTATGTGTGTGTGTGTGCATGTGTGTGCGTGTTTTTTTTTTGTTTTTTGTGTGTGTGTGTGTGTGTTTCAGTATCCTCGTCCTGCCCCTCATGACTCCTCTTATCCTGGAGGTGTTCCCGCTCCTTCTCAATCCCGAACCTCCGTGTCTTGTTGCTTCTGTGTGTCGCCAGTCGGGGCGCTCCAGAGAAGGTCTTGCCTTCGAAGGGCCGAGAAGTTGGCATCTCTTTCCCTCCTCGGCGGAATGCGGCGGGAGTCAAAGGATGACGTTTTCGGCTGCAAAAGTACTAAGGATTCGCCCTCCAAGATATGCAAATGTGCTGGGGGGAGGAGCTTCCAGAACGAGCCGCTTGGGTCCCACTATCGGTCCACACCGAACGATCTGCGTCATCGGGAAAGCCGCGATCGCTCAAGACTGAAAGATCCACGCGGTATCCGTCGCGACACGAGCCTGCCGTAGCCATTTGGGTTCGAGACCGTGGCCCGCGGCACCGACGCGGGATGCGCCACCATGCGCCCAGCGGCCTCCGCGAGGGCCTGCTGCCAGCGCGGCCTCGTGGGGCCACGGTCGGCAGGCCGTCGGCGTGGCAGCTGCTGGCCCGGCAGCGGGGCGGGGACGGACAGCACCGAGCGCTGCCAGAGGTGGCCCTGGCCCCGGGTGGTCCCAGCCTGGCCCGGTGCTCCAAAGTCACAGACTCCGAGGCGAGAATCTACACATGGCCACCACCTGGAGGATCAATCTCGGGGATCTCGGCAGGCGGTGAGGACACATTCGGGCCCCCGGGGGCCAAAGTGTATCCATATCCACCGCCCGCTGGGGCACTAGGACGTCGGTTCCCAGGCGGTGGATACGGATAAATCCCCGCCTCGCACAGAAATTCACCGCGCCGGTTTTTTCGCGCTTTCGGCCTCTGCGGACACTCGCTGGGCCCCAGGACCCTTAAGTAATTGCCCAGGATGCAGAGCCGGCCAAGGGGATCTGGTCGGCACTTCGGGGGACCCCATGTATTGAAGCAACAGTGTCGGATCTCTGGTGAGATCTGGGCGTCGAACCTCTTTCGCATCGGCCGTTTTCGCCCGGTTTGGGGCCCTGGGGCCCTCGCAGATCGATGTGGATCGAGAGCTGCCGCAGAAAGCTTAGGCTTCTGGTCGTGATGTCGCGTGGTGTTGGAATTTGCCCGCGCCGTTGAGTATCAGCGCCAGGCTTAATTTCCAGGGCGGTCTCCAGACCACCCCCCCTCGCGAGGCCTGGAGGGCCCCGTGGTCTCCAAAATGGCGCGGGACGCCGGGGACGCCTTGTGCGAGGGCCCGCCTTCGGCAACGCCCGGCCAGCAGCCGGCGCCCCCGTCGGCGTCGGATAGGCGGCCGAAGCTCCTGGCGGACCTGTGCAGTAGTGATGCGGGGCTGCTCGGCGACAGCATCTGCGTCGTGCAGGAGGGGGGCCGCGGCCGACGCCTCGAGGGCGGGAGCGCCGGCGCGGTGGCGGCCGAGCTGTGGCCCGGCCGGGAGCGGCCAGACCATATGTGGCGCGGGCTGCGGATGCTCAGCGACACCAGCAAGCGGGACTTCCTGCTGCACCCCACGTGGTGGGGCTACCTCGTGCGCGCCGACTTCGTGCGCGCGGCGGTGGAGCCTCACCAGGCCGTGTTCGTGTGCGCGCAGGGCAGGGCGTTCGAGCTGTTTTTGGAGGAGCTCCTCGAGCGGGCGGAGCGGGAGAGCTTCGAAGAGGGCGGCTCGTTCAGCTCATGGGTGGTCGAATGCATTGTGTGCGCCGCCGTCACCGTGCGCACGCTTCGTTTGCAGGCCCTGAGGTCGGTGGCCGACGAGGTGCTCGGCGGCATCAGCCTCCAGAGTCCCGACTCCACCCTGCGGCTGTACCCGCTGAAGTTGGCCATCTCCTCCTTCGTGGAGCAGATGAAGCCTCTGAAGCGAGGCCTGCGCGACGCCTTGCAGCACCATACTTCCTTGCGGCAGAGAGCGGAGGCGGCGGAGGGTGGCCTTGAGAGGAACAAGTCCAGCGGCTCGATGGTGTCTGGCGGATCGCAGTCCAGCGTGCCCGTGATCCCTGGTGAACTGGAAGATGCCTTGCACAACTGGCAGCACAGTGCTGAAGAGGTCTTGGCAGATGCCCTCGACGTCAGCACGAGGATCGCAGACAGCATGCGTTTCGTGGAGGCATCGATGAGCTGCACTAGGAATCGCCTCATCATGTTTGAGCTGTGGACTGCGATTCTCACGAATGTCATAGGGGCTGGGGCGCTCATCTCCTCCATATTTGGAGTGAATCTGAGCATGGGGTTCGAGACCGAGCCGGGGATATTCAACCTGGTCGTGCTCAGCATCGTCGGCATTGGTGCCCTGACTTTGGTAGTGTCATTGCACAAGGTCACGAGAAGCCAGAAGCACTACCTCAGCTCGAAGGAAGACAAACGATGACCATGTCCAAAACGTGACTCTGTCGACGGCGACCCTGGCCATGCTCCATGCTGGCCGCCGCCGATCCGCGAGGATGGTCCACGAAGCGTCGACGATCAAGGTGCACGGTGACCAAGATCGACACCAACGTTTCCACGTTCAGCCTTGGCCATGGTCACCGTTGTCCTTCCCTCCGCCAGCAACGGCGCCCTGTTCGGGAACAACAGGCTCCTCCGACGCGTCCAGGAGAGTGCCTTTTGCCCTTTGGGCCATGGCACGCGTTATTATGCCCCCCCTCTCCCCCTCCCGCCCGTCCCCCCCCTCCCCCCCCATAGCGAAACGCTCACCCCCCCCAGTGCGTCCCCGGCACTGCCGTTGAGACCCACGCGGCGAGGAGGGGGTGGGGGGGGGCGGGGGGGCGGTCCATGATGCCCCACCCCACCGCCCTCTCTCCCCCCTCCCCCTCCATGGCGCGGGCTACCGCCGCGGGAAACATGCCCTCCTCCAGGACGACGAGTACGTGCTGTCGCTCTGCGCCGACCGCGCCCCCGACGGCTCCCCGCCGAGCGTGCGGCTGGAAAAGGTCGCCCTCGAGCTGCGGGAGCCCGCGCTGCCCGCGGGCGCAGGCGGCCCGCGCTGCCCCGGCCCGCGGCGGCTCTCCGCCGCGAGCCCCGCCTCCCGAGCGCCACGGGGCGCGTTCGGGGCGCCCTCCGCGCCGCAGCCGAGGCCTTCCGCCAGGCGCGGCGGGTGCAGCGAGTAGGTCGGCATTTTTGTTTAGGGTGGAGCCCGATTTTATCCATGTCGACGTCGGCGACGCATCGGAGTGGCGTGAGCGTCAGCGTTCGGAGGTCTCCCGCGCGGGTGTCTCGGGTCGGCGTTGGGTTCCCCTGGCGGTGCCTCAGGCGCCGCGCCCTTGGCGCGCGGCGCCCTCCAGGGGAGGGGCCCAGCGCCGACCCAAGGAATCGGCGCGGTGAGCCTTCGAAGCTCCATATTTGTGCAGTTTGTTGCTCCTCCGCCCATGCTTCGGGGCGCGCTCAATTCTTGCAATATGTAGCCTCGCTCCACCGCGAGTGCGCTGCGGCCTTTGTCTGGCGATGCTACCCAACACAGTGTTCGCACCATCGGGTTCTTGCTCGCGCTGCTGGGTAATTGCTTGGCGTTTCTGGGGTTTCGACCAGTGAGTTCCCCGTCGCAGTTTCGTCGCCGCCTCGCGCGCTGACCAGCGTTTCCAGGCTTCCTCACGGTGAGCGCCCGAAGCCGCCTGGTCGCCTCTTCGCGTGCCGGCTGGCCGTTTTCAGGATTTTGGCCGGTATAGGCGCCCGTCGCCCATTCGTCGCCGCTTCATGTATGTGTTCGCGATTCAGCATGGACTCGTAGATTGCACCACGTAGGCTGCACCACGCAGCTTGCACCGCAGTTGTTCTCTTGGGCTGGATGTTAGCCAGCGTGGGCCCCAGACAGCGTTCGCCTGCAATCTATATGGGGCACTTGATTTTTACAAACAAGTTGACGAATACATGTTCTTGCAAACATCCCACCCACCCACCCACCCGCAACTTGGTTTGCAAAACCCCTGCGGCGTCGATTGTGATGAGTGTTCTGCGTTGGCTGGTGCATCTGCTGCCGCGCTAGCCCGCGATAGCCGCGTATGCTTGCGCGCACAGCGGCCGCCTAGTTTGGCGCGACCGACGCGGCCGCGGTGGCGCTGACCGCTGGGCACCTCCCAGCGGGCACCTCCGTGCGAGTCGGTGACGTGGGCGGGCGCGGTATCATGGCGATGCCGACAACGTTAGACACGATTATGACAGTAGCGATGGTGACGAAGGTGGTGATGACGACGGCAAGGCCAGTGACGGCGCCGATGGTGATCACCACTTTCGATAACGATGACGATGTCTTCGCGCCGGTGGAACTTCGGGATTGGGGAATGCCCCGCTGGCATCTTGCAAAAATGTTTGGCCGCCGCCGCTACGGTTCAACGCGGCCCCGCCCGATCTGTCCAAGCGGCTGGCGCCGATCGCCGCTCGCAATGTGCGGCGTTGGGGTAGGCAACAGGCGTTCGCCCTCCCCCATCGCCGTTCTGCTGTACATCGCACCCTCTGCAGCTCGCCCCAACATGGAATGGCGACTGCCGTTCAAACCCCGCGCCCGGAAGGGCTGGCGGGATTTCTAGATCCGAGAGCGTTCGTCCCTTACCGAGGCCAGAGTGATCCGCCCAATCTTTTTTTATCGTCATCAGCACCAGCATCATCACCATGGTCATTGCACTCGCATTCTGCGCCGATGTCTTTACCATCGCCACCGCCAATGCGTGACCTGCAGGACGAACTTGTCTGCGCAGTTGAGTCCCCGCGCCCATCGTCCCACCCCTTGGGGTAGTGCATTTACTCACGGTTTTTCGCAATGGTTCATCCGACGACTGCCCCCCGTCACCCCTGCCAGCTACTGCAATGCGCGTTCATTTCTGCATCAGCAGTGACCACTCGCCAGCAATCCATTGCAGAAAGCGAATTACACGGACGCCATAAACTTGCATAGCCTAAGTGTTGTTGCGCAAGTTGAAGACGCATTCAGTACTTACCAGGAACCTCTTGTTTTCAACCATCTTGAGACCACGCGGGCCACTTGCGCGCGCATGTCGGGCGCGTTCAACCACCATCGCGCGCCCATAAGGTATGCCAAATAGTACCATGCGGCCGCGCGCTCGCGCGCCCGGTGCGCGTGTTGTCCTGAGCTGTAAGAGCACCAGTGGTTCTCGAACCGTCTCAGCGCAGAGGCGTCCAAAAAATGCAAAACCCCAATGGTTCCAACTAGCGCACTGCAGGAATATAGACTTTTAGCGGGCGCGCAGTTGTGTCATCATCCTTCCCAGCACAACCGCTAACATCGTCGCCAGCGTCCTCACTGGCATCGTCATCAACATCACCATAATCACCCCCGTCGGGATCAGGACCGCCACTTTACTTGCCGTAGTCGTCGATGCCGCCGCCCTCATCCAGTTTGTGAACACGTGCGCTTCAGGATTATCGGCAGCGTCATCGCGGCCTTGGCGGCATCTTCACCATCAGCTTCATCACCATCCCCGCCGTCGTCGTCGACATGATCCTCACCGCCGTCACCATCATGACCAGGGTAGTCGCCATCGTCGCTGTCGCCGACCAGCTAGGTGCTGCCAGCAAGTTGCGGCCGCTTGGGTGGGATGTTTTGTTTACGAGCAGTCACGACGGTCGACGTGCATTTGAAGTTCACAAGGAAGATCGAGTCCACCAGCCTCCTGAGCCCAGGGCTAATGCCACCCCATGGGATAGCACAGCTTACTCAAAAAGGGCCGACTCGTGGGCCGTCTTCGGGCCCTCTAGAGCCGTCTGGGCAACCTCCTGGGGGGTCCCCTGGGCCCTCTTATGGCGATGTTGGGGCTTTTGGAAGCCGTCGTGAAGCGTCAGGAGCCCGAAAAGCGATCACGCCGCAATAACGCAAATCTTTCTACACAGAATCCATGATTTGGGCCTCTTGGGAGGCTTCTTGGAGCGCTCTTGAGGTGTCTTGGGGGCCATTCGGGCCGAGTAGAGGACATTTTGGGCGTCTTCGGGTGCTCTTGGGCCGCCTCGGGATTCTTTTGGACCGTCATGGGGCCCGTGTGGGGTTCTCTTGGCCCGTCTTGGGGCCTCCTTGCCTTTCCGAGGGCACCTGACAGGCGTTGGCGATCTCTGCCCTCCCCCGCCCCTCAGACGCGATTTCGGACCCCAGGAGAGGGGACAGCAACTTGTCGCGCACACCGTGCCGCCCCCCCGCAAACGGTGGTCAGCGGAGTTTAGTTTAGTAACATCATCTCACCGCGCAGTGCATTCGCGTTGATCTAGCGTGGTGCGCCTGGCGCAAGTGTCCGTATCAAGCAACATGCGGACCCCATGCGCGCGCTGCCACGCGCGCATGTCGAGATCCGTCCCAATTCACATTTGTGTTCGACGCATTGGTAGATCGGCCCATTCAAAACATATGGAAAGTGTCTGTGTGTGTGTGTGTGTTTTGTGTGTGTGCGTGTGTTCAACAGCGACTGCCAGGTTCCTTGAATTTCTGCGCGCGCGCCCTTCCTCATCATCCTCACCAGCGCCATCGCATCACCGCCGTTATCGACATTGCCACTCGCTGTCATCGCCGCTAGCAGTAATTATTACACTCACCTTCATCTCCGACGTGGCCACCATCATCGTCATCATCACCAGCATCAGCATCGTCATCGTCGTCACCAGCATCGTCGCCGTCGTCGGTCTCGCTCTCGGCATTACCACCACGGCCACCACCATCGGTGTTGTCATCATCGTCGTCGCCGTGCCGGCCTCATCATAATATCGCGCCCGTCTGAGCCACCGGCCCGCACCGGAGTGCCCGCACGGCAGCGCGGCTTGTGAGACTCGCCTGGAAGCTTCCATCGGTAAATGCTCCCGCGGCCCCACTATTTGTTCCTAATCAGCTGGCCGATCTGCGCGTGAGCGGGCGCGCGCCAGTGCGGCCGCAGAGACGCGCTGGCACAGCCGCAATCGTAGCCGAATGGTGTTCACAAAGGTAGTTACGAGCAGGATGGTGAGATGTTTGCGCGGCGCGCTGAGGGTGTTAGCACCCACTTGTTGTGGTTCACATTTGCAAATCTGATTATATTTTTCGACAGGAAGCGGTGCGTTGACGCCCTCTTCATGCCATGCTCGTTGCGAGGCGCGGCTCGATACCAGCGCATTGCGCTTGGCACATCAGGCTCTGACAGAGCTGCGCGGCTCTGCTTCGGCAAAAAACAGTTTGTCTTGGTCGTGACTGCCATGGTGACCCCCTTCCTGTGCGTTCCTCCTCCCCCTCGCTGCCGTCCCCCTCCCCTCTCCTCGAAATGATGAGTGTGGAAGGTCTGTGGTGCATGATGCCGCCCATCATCAGTTTTCGAGCTGGCGTCGTGTCTCGGTGGCCAACCAAGTAAGCAAATTTACCGAGCTGTCGTCAGCATCCTTAGCGCCTTCCATGCCCAATTCATCGAGGCCACGGCTGTGTTGTATTGCTGGTGCGGATCCTCGCAACGAGGGCACACGAACGCATTGGCATTGCAGACCTTCGCGGAATGGCAATCTTGAGCTACCTGACTCAGATGTTCGATCGAGCAATCCCTCTTCCTTTTGCCAGAAGGGCTTCGCATGTCGTTCCGCGGAAAAACTGTGCAACAACACGCGCTTGCACCGTGTGACGGTTTGGGGGGAGTCGGGGTCGTCTTGGGGTTGTTCGTGGTGGTTCTGCAGTTCACGGCAGTCACCTCTTTATGGTCGTGCTGGAGGCGATTCCGAGATCGTGCGCCTTTTTTGGAGGGTGTTTGGGCCGCCCTGGGAGCTCCTCAGACCGGAAAGGCAACACTGCTCCCAATCATGCAAGCGTGTCTTTGTCAATTGTTTCGGCTAGCATGTCTGGCCAGTTTGTGGGCAACCACGCCCATCCAGCACTTCCACAGGCCCCTCCACCGCCTGCTCGTGCCCCCGTCGCCATGAAGGGAACAGGGGTCTTGAGGGATCTGGTCCCAGACACTGGCGCTCTCCTCAGGACCAGCCACTCATCCCGAGTTGTTCTTCAACAGCCCCGCGTCCCGAGGAGGGCCCTTCTGGGCCGACAACAGCCAACAACACATCCAGGACTTGCTTCCTTCAGCGAGGAAGGAGGAGGAGGAGGAGGAGGAGGAGGAGGAGGAGGAAACGGAGGAGGGAGGAGCAATGAGGGAGGAGTGAGCGAGGA